AATTTTTTATGTATAAGTTGAAAAGATAAAGTTAATATTTGATCTATCTAATTTTATACTATAGGAATATTTTTATAATAATATTTATTTATTTATTTTTTTTTAAAAATAGTAATTAGTTTAAATAAAATGCAAGTCTTGAATTATGTAGAGAGTTTCAAGTTTTTTGCTATGTTCTAGCTGATAAAGCTTTTTGACAACCCCTTGCTTTAGTTATTAAGGTCTGTCTTAGTTTTTTATATATATTATAGAAATTATTATTTTGAATATTTGAAGCAACAGTATTTAATAAAAATTCAAATATTTTTTTGTCTTCTGCTAATTCAACTTCTCTAAATTCAATCAATTCATTACAAGTATTAAGACTAAATTCTACATTGTAGTCATATTCATTTATTGAACTCTCTAATTTACCTACAAGACTTTCAGTAGTATCCTCTTTTCAAAGATTATTAGCAGGATTAATACTTGTAGAGGCTTTGCCAAATAAAATGAATGGGTAGTTATGTTGGTATTTTGTCATTGCATATTGGAGAAATGATTAATTTTTATCAGTATATCCTTTAACAAAGTGTTTACAAACTATATAAGCATTATTTACAAATACAGGACATAAACAGACCCAATTATTGAGATCTGTTAAATATTTGTCTTCAATGCTAATCTCTCTGTCCAATGCCTTTTTCTATTTATCTTTAAATAAATTCTACCAGGATGACAAAGCCTGCTTATTGTTATATCTTTGCCAAATATTTATTTGATTCAAAATTAATCCTCTTGTTAGGATTTGTGTTAAATGGTCTAAACAGAGTCTATTATAAGTATGTTTATAATCATGTTTAATGACACATCAGTGCGATTCTACAAGTATCATAGTTCTTGCTAATGGAATTGCACTTGAAAAAGAAGCCCGGGCAAAGATATTCTAATTATTCTTATTATACCAATTAGACCACAAATAATCCTACACATAAACAAGATTTTTATCTTTACAATATTGATAAATTTCTTTTATACTTTCACAATAAATCTCTGCTGAGGTAAGAAAAGTTTTTTTATTAATTAGTATAAAAGAGTATATTAATAAATGTCTATGAACTATATTTAAAATTTTACTTATATTTTTTTTTAGACATGAAGTACTTTTATAATTTTTAGAAATCCAAGAAATATCAATAAAATTAAATTGTTCATTTGTCTCTCTCACTTTTTGTGCTGTATATTGACTAGATTTACTTTTTTTTTCTTTTAATTTTCTACTTATTACATGCTTAACATGCCATAAATATAACTATATCTTTACCTTCCAAGATCATGCCTCTTGTGTGGCTGCTGTTTGACCTGTATTTTTGTCCATGAAAACAAAAGTAGGTAGGGTACCTTCTTTTCTTAATAATAAGAAAAAATCTAAAAGAACTTTCAACATGAATGAACTCTATTTTTAGGATCTTTAAGAAGTTCTTTCAGAGCAGCGAATATGTCAATATACAGATATGCAAGTGGTACTCCATATTCACCAAAATTTATTAATATTGCAAAGAGTTCAAATTTTTGTTGATTAGTTTTGTAAGTGGAATTGACGATAATTTTATTAATATCAGTTTTTTTTATATATTTGTTAAAAGATGTAAAAAATCTAAGTGCCTGAACAAAATCATTTTCTATATATAATAAAACTTTAAACCCTTCATTCACTAATTTATCTTGTGCCAAAAAATTCAAGAATAAAAGAAGTTGATTAGATGCTATAGTAATATATTGTTGAGTAGAAACCTTTAAAGCCCAATAATATACCTGCTTGTAGGTATACACTTCTGGGTTGATAAGACCTTCTTTGCCAAGCCTTTTATAAATTTCAATTTTTCTAAGATTTAGATTTAAATTCTTAGATATCCATGCTATAACGGCTTCAAGTAACTTATTTTCACGATATGTTGGTTGCATATAAGAAATTAAATAGTATATTTCAATTCTTGCTTGATATTTTTGATATTTCTTGAAATTAATATTAATTATAATTTTTCCCTCACATGCAAACCATTTAATAAATGGTCTAATTTTATTTATTCTTTTTACTGGTTAATCAAGTGGGTGTTTATATTTTCTATTTTCTCTTTGAGTACACTCAAGATATACTAATACTTTTTCAGTATTATTAATATGAATATAAACTTTTTTAATTTCCCAATAATAATAGGATCCAGCTTCAATAGGTAACAAAAATAAATGAATTATTTTACAGGCTTTTTCTTCTTGACTATTATCTAATATTTAAGAACTATCGATTAATTGATCTTCAAGCTCAAAGGTTTTTGAAAAATTTACTAGATTTTTTTTAAGGTTTGCAGCAACTAACTCTTCTAACTCAGCCAACTCATACAAAATATTGTCTTCATTATCATTAATTATTTCTTTCAAGTTATCATCATCATCATAGAGACATTGGGATCTATTTAGAATTTCTGAAGTTGTAGACTTATTATCTTTATTAGTATTCAAAGTTTTTTTTTCTTCTTCGTACAATTATTGCAGTTTGAATATTTACTTTCATTTCCTCCATGATCTCCATAGAATCTGATGAATTTACTGAGAATCTTGTATCCTCCATAACAGGAACACTCTTTACTTTAAAGGTCACTAGCAATATTAACTGTTTTGTCTAAATGAGCCATTATTTATATTATTAATCAAAGTAATTCACAAGATTTGTTAAGTATATTTTATATAGATTCCCTTATGTCAAGAAAATTGATGTACAAAAATTAGCTCGGAGCCAATAAAAATTGCAGAATCTTGCAGATCT